TCTCCCCCCGTGTCGATATCAACTCATCAAATTGGCTGCATCAAACTGACTGCCTACGTATCCTCTTGCCCAAGGAATCAAACCTCACGTAGTTCACCCAAATGGCTGTAAACAACCTCAATCAACTTGAAGGATTCTTAATCCTTCACCAACTTCACGACCGTCACCAAGTGTCTTCTTCTAAGACCATGCACCCAAGTGCTCATAATGTGAACGACCTGTGACAAATCTTGGCCTTGTATACACCCTTGCACCAATCAAGCTACCTAATAGCTTAAAACACACAAACGGGTCAATTAAGCAACTGGTGTAAACTCCGCAAATACTAACAAATCTGCAGCTAATAGCACCCCGATGGTCTTAGAATGAAAAGACAAACTCTCTTTCAAACTTGCATCGCTCCACACCAACTCTATCTTGGAGCTTAACCCTTCAACCCTATATGTAGAAGAAATACTATTACCAAACACCTCCACCTGAGGTGAGCCAACGACCATAGCCAAATATGAACTGTGTCTACCTGCTACACTCAAATCCTGATCCTGAAACTGACCCTCCGGTTCATGATCTTCAAACACATCATCTGTATCAACATCAACTATATAATCCTTAATCTGTGTCACCTCAGTTGGAATCCCAAATGATACATAATGATCTAGAGAACGTGGAGTAATCTCCACCCAACGTGAAGTAGTATCACTCTCCATCCGCTACAATACATCTATGATCTGTCCAGTACTCTTCACCTACTGAGAGTCAATATGCTCCATTATCGAAGCCTCATCAAAAGTGACATACTGCTCAGAACTACAAACTTCATTGCACTCTGATCAATTTTTACATGCTTGATGAGATAATAGGTTGGGCACCCAAACATTCGAAGTAACCCATAATCTGAAGCAGCTCTACCATACCAAACTTCTAATGGAGTTTTACCTTCAATCGCAGTAGACAACAACCTGTTAATAAGATGGTACGGACATGTCAAAGCCCCAGCCTAAAAACTCTTCTGCAAACCACTGCTTGACAACAAACATTGAACATTCTCTAGCAAGGCACGGTTCATCAACTTTGCCACCTCATCTAGTTGCCCTAATGTTCCCTTTCCATCGACGTATCTCAAAATGCCTTAAGCTCAGTACAAACATAGAAACAGATTCCTCTTGTACTTCCCACCAAAATTAGAACGAAGTACTTTGACCTTTCTATCTGTCTTAGTCTCTATACACTTCTTTCACTATTGAAGACTACTAGGACTTCATTCAAACGAGACTTAGTTGCAACCCATACATGCCTAGAATAGTTATCAACAAAGGAAACCAAATATCTATTACCTCCCAATGATGTCTCCTTGGAAGACCCCCAAACGCCCACGTGAACCACACATAGAAGGCCCTTAGCTCGGTGAATAAAGGTGCCAAACTTCACCTTGGTCTTCTTGCTCACATCACAATGTTCAAAAGACTTCAAATTGCAGGTCGATGCACCTTTCACCAATCCTTGCATTGCCAAAGCTTGCAAGTAATCAATACTGAAATGTCCCAGCCTCAAATGCCCCAGTCTAGTCAAATAATTAGAAGTCGTCAGCACTCCACCTGTCATCTAGTTCTAGTTAAGTAGTATAAGTTATTCTTCCTGACGTCCTTCATCACAATAAAAGAGCCTTTCACAATCTTGAAACCCATGTCCTCAATACAAACTTTCAAACCTTCTGCAACTAAAGCTCTAATTGAGATCAAATTCTTTCTCAAAGAAGGAACATATCTTACACCATATATCTCTCTAACCATCCCATTATATATCTTGATGCAAATTTTACCCATCCCAATGATTTGACATGCACGGTTATCACCCATGTATATCACACCACTATCCAGCTTCTCAAAACTGGAAAACAATTTTCTTTTAGGGCACATATGATAGCTTGCACCACTATCCAACATCCACTCAGATACTTCCGAATAGCAACCTGTGAGACTGATAGAAAGTGAAAAAATAGACGAGTCGGAACTATTACCATCCAATTTGACGATGTTTGCTTCTGGTAGTTTTTCTTTTCCCTTCTGCTTGTTCTTATTCTTTATCCATTCGCTAAGATTTAGCCAAATTTTCTTCCATTGACCACTCTCTTTACACCAAACACAATGATCTTTACCAACTGTATGATGCTCTACTCTAGACTGCGACTTCCCATTATCTTTACTCTTTTGGTTTGGATTTTTACCTCTTGCAGTCAATGCCTCTGCTATTGTGTCATTTGAAGACTCATTGTCTTTCTTCCTTAGGTGATAGTTCACAAGAGTAGTGGTAATCTCACTATACGAAAGAGATATCTTCCCATTAATTAGGGTAAGAACGAATGTCTCATATTCCTCATCAGGTGAGGAACTCAACAACAACAATGCATTGTCCTCATCCTCGATCATAACATCCACATTCGCCAAATCCGCAAGAAGCTTTGTGTAGTTGTTCATTGATCACCAATTGAGATTCCCTTCTTCAACTGGAAACGGTAAAGCCTCCTCTTCAAATGCAAGCGATTCTCAACACTCTTCGTCAAATATTTACCTTTGAGAATCTCCCAATTCTTCTTTGCAGAAGTCTCATTGATCACATCATATTTTAGATCCTACGTTAAACAAGATCTAATGACGCCACACGTCGTCCGATTTATTTTCTTCCAAACCTTATCTTCAATATCATCCGGCTTACCATGCAACTCCAAAGTATCCTCCAAATTCTGCGCATTCAGCGCATCCAAAACCTCACATCTCCACAAACCAAAGTTGTTCATGCCATTAATTTCTCCACATCTATCTTTGTAGAGTGGATATTCAAACTTTAAATGGTCTTCACGCTGGAAGTACCACTCTCAACACCTGATGTACATTCTTTTTCAGCCATCTTTCTCAAAACACCAATAAACCAATGTGGAACAAACTAAAAAAATCGATCCAAACTGAGAAAATGTAGATTTTTACCTCTAACTGAAACCCTAACAAGAGTTACCAAATGATCTCACCACCACACGATGATAAAAATCTCACCTTTGTCTCCAACTAAAATCCTAGAAGAGCTTCTAAAGCGATCTACTCCTCTACCTAACCCCAAGCGTAGTTTGGAGCTCTGATACCACTTGTTGTGCGCAGCGGACGAATCACACACCAACGAACAAGAAGAAAGTAATCAAAACAACCAAAACTCAAGTACCAAACAGTAAGATAGCGAATTTACGTGGTTCAACAATGTGCCTACGTCCATGGGGCAAGGAGGGGGGGGGGGGGGTTTTTCTACTAGAAATCAAGAGAATACAAATAGGGTTACAAATCTCTCAGACCAAACCCTA